CTAAACTGACAACTCCTCTGACGGTCGGACTTCTTAATGCGCATGCGCAAGCATGTTCTCACTGCATGTATGCTTTTATGACAGCGTATGATGATCTGATAGAACACCCGGTTCGGACGTGTTTTGGGTCGGGTAGCAGTTCGGGTACGTACCGGTTCTGATGTGCTCCGGGTTCGGCTCTCTGAAGGTCAGCTGGTATGGCAGGACGGCCAGACTCCTCCGGGTGGTTCTGTCTCGGATCTCGTCCAGAACCTCCCGCAGGGTGTAGATGTTTTGGCCGAACTCCTGCAGCGGAAACCAGCAATTCATCAGGTCTGACGTCACAGTTAAAGCCACTCATGTTGCCGTGGTAACACGGCCTGATCTCAGAGCACCTGGTACCAGAACTCATCCCAGCTCTGTTCTGGTACCGCTGTGACGTAGATCCGAACACCGTAAAGCTCTTGGTCCGGGGCCAGAACCAGTTTCGAGCTCAGCGGGTCGAGGCCAGATTCGGTCCGCTCAGCAGCGTCTGCTCCCCTGCCGGAGCTCCACCACCAGCGGCCCACCTAGCACCGGCACACTGACCACCTGTCCTCCCTGATGGACTCACCTGCAGCGGGGCTTGCTTTAAAAACGCTCCAGCGTCCGCGACAACATGCTCCACCAGGGTCGGCGCCATCTTGGCTTGGGGACCAGCAGCTGCAGCGGCCAATCAGAGGCGAGAAAACAGCCATCTGACGCCTGAGTGCTTTAAATACATCAGGAGTGTCGGAATTTTGACTACTTTGTTACTTTTTACCTTGTCGAGCTGATCTGAAAGGTGTTCAGGTGGAAAATATAGGAAATGTATGTTCCTTTAAAGCAGATGTATTCACTGTTCGGTCCTGAACGAACTATTCTGTCGAAATTTCATTTACTTTTAAAACTAGATAAACCTGTAAATAATTATTTAAAAAAAAAAACAATTATGTAATTAAATGATTAAAACTCGAAGTTAAAACCATAAGTAGTTAATAGCAGGATGTTCCAGAAATCCTTTCATAATTCCCTTGGAGTGGTGAAGGGTTAACAACGGGCTGGATGGTTTTAATAATTTGTCATCAAGATCTACAGAAACCTGCTGTGACACAGTTACTTAATGATCTGAAGCGGAGGAATCCGCCGCCATTGAACACATCACCCCAGCTCCTGAAGGTCACGTGGCGTTGTGTTGACAGTGAGACGGGAAGGAAAGATGGCGGCGCGGTGGAGTAGCGAGACTGTGGTGGTGGAGTTTCGGGACGCTCAGGTGTGTGATTGTTTGAGCTGACACAGATGTTTCTGATAGGAAACTCGGGTGAGATCGGAGCTGCAGAGAACAGTTAACCTGCAGAACTGAACGCAAACCCGGATTAGTCGGGTTCGGTAACAGACCGAACCAAGCCGCAGTATCTGCACTTGTTGATCTGAATGGTTCCGATCACGTGGGAGGAGCTCATTGACAACTCTCAGTCAACGTTGACTCACGTGACAACAGATGGCCGTCTCCCCAGCGTCATCTGTGTGGTAACCATGGTGTGGAGGCTCATTAGTTTGAATAAAACCAGATTTGACCACAAGTTGCAGCTGCAGGCAAGAGGACATAGCTGCCAGCGGGGCGGCCATGTTGGATTGCAGGTCGGGACTGGTGGGAAGCTGACCTCTGACCTAGGGCTGGGGGATATAAGGAAAATCTAATATCCTGATACATTTTTGCTATATCACAATACACGATATATATCACGATTTTCTTACATGGGCTCCAATGTTTTTTTTAAACTAGACTCCTTGTAGACTTAAATGTAAGCTCATATAAAAAGGAGTGCAGTGTTGTGCTATGAACTGTCTACACTATGACTAGATAACAAGGTGAGAAATAAGTTTTAATAAGTAGGTAAGTTATCCTTGACTTTGACAAACTTAACAAATAGATGTGCTGTGGAAAAAGGTGTGGTTTCAGCTTAAAAATAAAAAAGGCGACCTGCACACAAACTGACAGATCATCAGTAAAGCAGGTGTTAAATGAGCTAATCAGCCACTGCTGTGTTCGGGTGGCCAGGGGCGCTGCCAGGAATCTTGGGCCCCCTGACAAAAAAATTGTTTGGGCCCCCCCTGTGCAGCTGCTGTTAAATTTTTTTGAGTCTATCTGACCCATAAAAAGCGTCACAATTTTAAAGGCTTGCATCTGCTTTGCTTTCTTTGGTTCAATACAGATAACTAGCACAATATTTACTGCTCATGAATTTTACATCCAACAGTCCACATCCAGTATGCAAGTAGGTTGCTTAATTTTTTTCTATTAGTTTTAGATACTGAAATGTCTAATGTGCTAATGGTGAAGAAACAACTAATCATTACA